ACTTCTTGATTTGACATACGAGTAATTTGAGTTACGAGCTCCGTCATGGAACAAATTAAACTTGTAAGTCAAGGCCCCACTGTATTTTCTGTTCTGTTCTGTCACAGCCCCCAGGGCTGTCTTGCTGGGTGGCTCTTGTCCTCATGCAGGTTATGGAAAGTGATGCCTTGTATCTCTAAGTCCTGGAGACCTTCCCGTGCTGATGCATTGAATCACATCATCCAAGCTCACAGGTGTTGCTGTCCCCACAGAGCCCCCTAGGAGAGCGTGTCAGCACTGGGAAGGGGTCTAGCTCACGTGGTGGGACACACCTGTTCCAACATTCTGGTTTTCTCTTGGGAGCTGACATTTTATCAAGACAACAGGACTGTCAGTTGGCACCTGCCAGGTGATATTTCCTGAAGGGAGAAGCTCACGTTCATGTATGAGAAAGTGTGAGCCAGTTCACCAAACCTCAGCCATGGTAGTGTCTGTGTCATTCATTCTGGCACATAAACATGCGCCAGACCTGGTGTGGCTCAGTGGCTGAGCATTGACCTATGAACCAGGAGGCCAGGGTTCCATTCCAGGTGAGGACACCTGCAGGGTTGCGGGCTATTCCCCAGTGGGGGGCGTGCAGGAGGCAGCCCATCAATGATTCTCTCCCATCATGGATGTTTCTCTCCCTCTCCCTTCCTCCTGAAATCAATAGAAATATATTTTTAAAATTTTTAAAAAAAGAGTTTGCTGGAAGGGGCTGTGGGAAGGAGGGTGAAGGGGGAGGGGAGCCGCGGGACCAGCTGTGAAGGCCCCCGAGGTCCTGCGAGGTCCTGGCCGCCTGCGTGGTCGCTGTGCCGGGGCCCGTGGCCCCAGCGATGACCTGATGGGAACTCGCGGGGACCACGCAGCCGTGTCCGTTTGCAGAGCACACATGGGCAGCCGAGCTTGTGGGGTGGAGTGGGGGGGAGCACTCCCCGGGGACTCCTTCCACAGGTGGCCTCTGGGACGCGACCCCCCTGACTCTAAGGCGGGGTCACCATCAAAGGAGGCTCCCGTCCTTGGGCGCCTTCCCTTCCCTCAGGAGGTTATAGGACGTGACGCGGGGCCACCTTCCCAGGGCTCAGTCCATGTTCCCCCAGGCCTGAGCCCCCCTCCCGGCGCTGGACCCGAGGGACCCGGGAAGGAGCGCGCTTCCCACGCAGAGCCGGCACCTCCCAGCGCTTCTCCCTCCGGGATTCCCTGCGAGCTCCCTGGGCCACAGGGGCCTCCCGCCGAGGAGCCCTGAGCAGGGTCACTGTGAATATCACAGCAACTGCCGTCCACAGGTGAGATCGTCAATAGTCATGCCCAGCAGCCCAGGTACCCAGGGGCTCCAGGACCCTTCAAATCAGCAGCAAGGGACACAGAGCGAGGAGGCAGGAAGCAGGACATGGCAGGTCTGCATCAGCCAAGTGAGCGTCCGCTGAGGCGGGGACACAGAGCAGAAATGGAGGCAGCACTTGGCAGTGGTAACGGGGCCGCCAGCGTCAGGGTGCAGTGGGGGCCTCTGGTGTCAGGGGAACGCATGGGGAGGCCTTGCAGGGGAGAAGGTGCCGCAGGCTGGGGGGTGACTGCAGGAGACACACCGTGGAGACACTGGCTCGGGCCAGGGGGACAACGACCATAGCAGCGGAGATGAACCCCAAGATGGCAAGGCTCATGTTACACCCCGAGTGTGAGCAGAACCCCGTGTCTACATTTCAGTGATGAACTAGAAACCCAAGTGGCACCTCTATACCTAGCACCGTCCACACTGTCTAACAGGGTTTATCCATCCCAGCAGCCAAATTAGAGGGTCAACCGTGTAAAAAACATGCAGATGTAAGAAGCAACTCACTGAAAACCCAGTTCCTACCTGATTTTCTCTGTAACACGACAGAATCTCACAGAAATAGGAATGGAATAAACATA